TCACCTTCAACAAAGTAACTAGTCACTTGTCCAGAATAGAGTCTTGGTGAAATTACCATCACTTTCTGTCATAACTATTAACGTTATCATTTCCTCACTTGCTACCTAAGTTACACAGACCGTCCTTCTGTCAACCAACCATATACTGCCCTTTCAGGAACACAGAGTAACCACTGGTGAGGGTCACACTGAAAAATGGGACTGCTAGAAAGTCAAGGAGTTTGTTACTCTAGTAATCGATTCTGCAACCTATAAAAGGAAGATCATGAGAAAACCACAACTTTATTTTATTTTGACTTTTTTAAATTTACTGTTGAGAATCTCCATTTACTGTTCTACCCACAATTTTACCAAAACATTCCATTTTAGTTACCTTAGGAAATATGCTTCTCTGTCTGCAGTAGAAATGGACTTGAAGCTTTCACTTCTTTACCAAAGCTAAAGGAGCAGCCTGGGAGTGGTGGTGTATAACTGTACTTGGCAGTTATAGACAGGAGAGTAGAGAGCTTGAGGCCAGCCTGGGTAGAAAGTGAGACCCTACATAAAGAAACCTCTAGAAGAGAAGTCTTTTCCAGAGAGAAAAACAAAACAAAACAAACAAAAAAGCTTTCCCATGAATGACTCATATTTTCTAGCCTCAGAATCACAGCAGGGTTTAGAACTCTTGTTTCACTTTGACTACGACACAGATCAATCTTCTGCTTAATAAATGTTAATGACATAGTTATAATAGTTGTTAATGGCTTGCTGGTGTATAATGTACAGTCTTAAATATAGTTTATATATTTGGGTATAATCTTCAACTTGTCTGAATCATTACATAAGTAAGTATTGTAGAAGGAAGAACAGACTTCCGGGCTCCATGCTTGTTCCAGACCATCACTTAAAGCCCCACTGATGGACAGTAGCAATGAAAGCATTACTCTGATTGCCAGTCTAACAGTGATCAACTTAACCACTAATCACTGTCTGTGTGGGTGCTTAACTGTATAATTCAGTTAACTAACATTACATTTGGTTTTTGTAAAAAGACCTATTTAAAGTATAGCAGATAAATGCCTTAGTATTATTTCCTGAATCTTAGGGCTCGGAGGTTATGTCTAAAAAGCTGTGAGCAGAAGACAGAAGGGGCAAGGAGACAGGGATAATGTGAGCAACAAGTGTGTTGATCTCTTCAGATACCATGTCCCTTATGTAGAAACAAATCCCTCCATTTCAATCCCTCCGCCAAAACAAAACAACCCCCCCCCCCAAAAAAAAAAACACACTCCAAAAGCCCACACATTTGAACAATACTGATTAGGAACAAGAATGACTGGCATACTACTTTCTTCACACTTAGAGATTTTCACAATTTCTTTTTTTTTTTTTTTTTAATGTGAATGAGTGTTTGCCTGCATGTATGTCTGTGTACCACTTGTATGCAATGCCTGAAATGGCCAGAAGAGAGCACTGGATCCCCTGGGACTGGAATTACAGACAGTTGTGAGCCTCTGTGTGGGTTCTAGAAATTGAACTGGGGAAGAGCAGCCAGTGTTCTGAACTGGTGAGTCTTTGCTGCAGTCCCCCTCCTTCACAAGCCCTAATATACCTTAAGCACACTGTGCTGCTCCATGCCAGCTTCTTTTGCTTTAAATGTTCTCCAGGGCCCAGACTTTTCAAACTGTTGCACTGAAAACCTTCCTCTCCCTTTTTAAATTTATTTATATTTTTATAAATTACAGTTTTTTCACTTTGTATCCCTGCTGTAGCCCCCTCTCTCATTCCCTCCCAACCCCACCCTCCCTCCTTCATCTCCTCCCAAGCTCTTCTCTAAGTCCATGATAAAGAAGGTCCTCCTCTCCTTCTCTCTGACCCTAGCCTATCAGGTCTCATCAGGACTGGCTGAGTTGTCCTTTTCTGTGGCCTGGTTAGGCTGCTCCCCATGAGGGGGAGGTGATCAAAGAGCCAGCCACTGATTTCATGTCAGAGATAGTCTCTGTTCCCATTTCTAGGAAACTCACTGGGAGCCTGAGCTGCTATGTGCTACATCTGTGCAGGCGCTCTAGGTTATCTCTATGCATGGTCCTTGGTTGGAGTATCAGTTTCAGAAAAGACTCCTGGGCCCAGAATTTTTTGATCTGTTGTTCTCCTTGTGGAGCTCTTGTCCCCTCCAGGTCTTCCTATCTTCCCCTTCTTTTATAAGATTCCCTGCCCAAAGTTTGGTTAGGAGTCTCAGCATCTCCTCCAATAACTTGCTGGGAACAGTCTTTCAGAGGCCCTCTGTGATGGGATCCTGTCCTGTTGCCTGTTTTTTCCCTTTTCCAATGTCCATCCCCTTTGTCTTTCTGAATGAGGATTGATCCTCTCTTAATTGTAATGTAGACTTAAGCATTTTTTCTTCACCGGCACACTATCCATTTTCATTTCTCCATTACAGGAATTATCACTAATGTTTTTTTTTTTTTTTTTTTTTACTTAATTTATTTCCTCTCTTGGATGCTAACATTGTATCACTACTGTAAACATAGCACCTAGCATATAATACAGCTTGATATGCATGGCTGAATTGATGCTAACGATTAGTTAACCCACCTTAGGTAGCTATAGATATGTGGTTTGTAAAGTAACCTAAGAGGAATCATATTCAGTGGAAAATAAACAATAAAAAGTAACCAAGGTAAGTTATATTTTTAAATAGCTGCTAAGGAATAAATAAAAAGGTAACTCTGGATGGGAATTTCTGTACTTAAGGCTTGTGAGGATAATAGCTGAAAGGTGATAGTTGAATGTCAAAAGCAAGTTAGCATTGAAAAGAACAAGGAGAAGCTCAGTCTGGCTAAGGTTAACAGAACATCCAGAGTCTCTAATACAGGAAGAGCTTGACTACTAAGGGAAAGAGAAGGAGAGCGACTGTGAGGTGAGTCAGAGAGGTTCCCAATGTCTTGTCAAATCTTACAGACCATGGTGAAGAGTGAACACAATTTAATAGCAGCAGAAAATCTCAAGTCTTAAGCATACCATGGGCAGAGGCTCAAAACAAATGTTAAAAATGTGATAAAGAGACTCCAACAAAAAATTCCTGACACCAGGTCAGGGTTCTCCAAGAGACTGGCTCCTAAAATACTACAGATCATAGCCCTTGGTTGTTCCTGAGGTGGAAGGTCCCTATTGCTAAAGACACTATGCACTTCAGATGCAGGGCTCAGAGGCCCTTGATCTGGAACTGACCTGAAGACCTATTCTCTGACAGCTAGCTTTCATGGTACCAGAAGGTTTCATGGTACTATGCAAGTTTCCAAAGTAGTGAAAAAAATCAACAGTAATACCTAGCCATGGTGCCCATACACTGTACTGACCAGCATGACACTATAATCTTAAGGGTGCAGTAATGGCACATATATCTTGGCAGCAACCAATAGCTCTCTAGTTGGACTTAAGACCAACTGAACAAGAGAGAAATCATACCCGGTACTGGAAACATAGCCAACTACCCATGGATTGTGGAGAAGAACCTATAATGCCCACTTTACCAAACCAGGATAAACCCTAACTATATTCTAACTATTTTCCTTATATACACACAGTATGAGTTTAGTCCTCACCTTTCATAAAGGAAGCTTCTCTTTGCAACAGACAGAGATCAACATACAACCAGAAAATACAACCAATCAAAATGCAGAGTTGTGGAGCCCCAAAGCCTATAGATCCATCTACAAAACAACTCCCACAGGTAATGCTCAGAGAACACTGGGGAAGAGAGTACAGAAAAAGTGTTAAGAGCCAAAGGAACACAGAGTTTGCTGTAATAGTATCTTGTAGTAATGATGTCAGAAGCTACACCCATAAAGTCTTAACAACATGACTGTCTAAACATGAGTGAAGAAAGGCCAACAATATTAGATACTCCAAAGTGATGAGGAAAGCTCACAAGGGCTCAACCTTACACACAAAAAACTAGAGGCAACTAAGGAATACCGAGAGTGAGAGAAATAGTCTTCCCCAGGGAAGAACACACCAACTAGTGATTCAATACCAAAACATACATACAAGTAACATACAGACTGCTTAGGTTAGATTAAGGAATAGATATGAATACATATGCATATACATATATGCATGTAATAACAACTAATAAAAAAGAGGCTATGAATTTGAAAGAGAGCAAAGAGGGTTATATGGGATGGCACGGAAGGCGGAAATAATGTGATTATAATGTCAAAAACAAAATATGTAATAAAAAATGGTATAGCAACTTAATGGTGTATTTAGTCATTCAAGATAATGTGAGAAAATACTTAATAACTGTTAATTTTAGTAATATCAAAACAGTATGTGTAATACCGAATATATAAAACAAAATAGCTACACAAACAATATATGTAGCATATTTTGGTAGGCATACATATATAGAAATTACATATAAGTAATAGAGGGAAATGAAATTACTAAGCCAGGGAAGAGCTTTGCAAGGAAGCAGAAAGAAAAGCTAAGAGAATCCAGATGGAAACTGTATTAAATCTGCATTACATGGTCCTACTTGGAGAATAAAGCTGCCTGGGCCACAGTGGCGTGCAGGAGTCCAAGGAACTATTAGGAAAGGATTTACACCTCTCCCCCTAAATATAAGCACAAGAACACCACGGTTGCAGAAACCAGCCATATTTGTTCACTTGAAGTATCTGCAGTGTTGATATGGGACCTGGATGTGGTAGCATTTAGTGGGTAGTTTAGAAAACAGTTTCTTAGACCAGCAGCTCTGAGTGCCTGGTGAAACTCTGTATTATTCCCCAAATAGGATATTGATTGGGAGAAGAACTATTTCATAGCTGTTTGTCGGTATCATTATTGAAAAAAATAAACAAACAAAACAAAACAAAAATAACCCCCCACAGTAAGCCAATAAAAGAGAGGCTTTTGTTTCTTTTGTTTGTATGTGTTTTGGATAAATTAAAACCCAACACTGGCAATCAAGCAATGTTATCAGTGGAGAGACAGCGTTATCAATCTAAGAGACTTGCCTTTGGGTTGTTGGCATCAAACATACCAGTTGACAGTCCAATCAGTAAGGAATTTTTGGGGTTTTGTTTTGGTGGTGAATCAGAGCGAGATCGAAGTGTATGTGGTTCTTCTAGTGAACAATGAATTGATTGAATTAAGGGCAAGTGCTCAGAATGAGCCACTTTCTGGAATAAAGGTTCTGGCTTTCCTGACTTCTCTACATCACATCCAGACTGCTGAGAATCATCTACTGCAGGTTCTGTGGAACACAGAAGAGATTATTACATAAGTCTACATAACAGCACTTACAGTTCTAAATATCACCAAGTATCTTATAACATTTAACATGAATCCCATCAAAGGGGCTGGAGAGATGGCTTAGTGGTTAAGAGCACTTGCTATTCTTGCAGAGGGCCTGGGTTTGGCTCTCAGGACCTACATGGCAGCTCATAAACATCTGTAACTCCAGTTCCATGAAATCTGACATGCTCTTCTGTCCTTCATGGGTACCAAGGGTACATGTAAAATACGTACAAAATGTATATGCAGACAAATACTCAGGCAAATAAAATATTTTTAATTAGAAAATGAATTCTATCCAAAAATAACCTCATATCAGAAAAAAACAAAATCAAAATATATATGTAAGTATACTGCACATTACCTTATGAATAATTTTTAAGAAAATATAATTTTTAAGTATTTAATAAATACTTTTATTATATTGGAAGTTTCAAAATATAGATATCCAAAAATAAAAAATACAGTGTAGCCAATCAATTTTTCAGTTTATTTTGTTTATATTGAATGAAAAAGTTATTTATTTTGCCTTACATTTTAATCAATAGTATTTTTAAATGAAACCAATTTATTCAGTGCCCTTAGCATATTATTTTGGCTTTGAAGTAATTCTTTTCATTTTCACCAATATAACTTACCAAAAAGCTAACTGCTTATCTTACCACAGTCCCAGGCTGACTAGTGCAGACTCTTGTTCTCAGGCCTATTTTATTTTAAGAAAGAATTTTGATGACATTACCTATGTGATCCTCACAAAGTTGGTCCACATTCCCCGAAATTCTATTTTCATAAACTTCACACTGCTGCATGGCAACCTTATCTTCCAACCTGCCATAAGCAGGTAAACTAAGCAAAATAAACAAACACCACAGTTTATTAGAAATAAAAGTTCTCTTATATAAAGAAAATGAAACCCACATCTATTAGTACCCTCTACTCCCTTGTCAAGTGTCCAAATATTTTTATTTTTTTAAACCTTTTTTTTTTTCTTTCAAGATAGGTTTTCTCTCTGTAGACTTAACTGTCCTGGATTCATTTTGTAGACAAGGTTGGCCTTGAACTCATAGATATCTGTTTGCCTCTGCCTCCCAAATGCTGGGCCACCATGCCCGGCTGCCCAAGTATTTTTCTCATTTTCATATAATACTTTCTCCTGTAAGTATAGTATGTTTTCTATTTGGAGCAAAGCAAAACTCTTACCAATTATCAATCACTAGTCACTGATCATTCAATCATTCTGAAAGTTTAAATTGTCAGAATCATTTGAAGAATGACCAAATTACAAATGCAAATCACCTAAAAATTATACCCCTATTTCAAAAACACACACACCTACTTTTGCAAAAATAATTTATGTAAACTATTAC